ACCTATGCTCCTCTTATTCTGTCCTCTGCTTTCTGTCTCTGTCGTACTTTCTGTGTTTTCTTCAGTCTGATGGGGGAGCATGGGCAGGGGTGGTTATATATATATCAATTAATTTTCTTACCTGTCTTAGAAGCACAGTCTGTAAGCCATTGTTGAGACCCTTGTTGGTCTTATGTCTTGTATTTGTCTCAGGTGATCCTTATAACATCCCCATGAGTGTTATACATTATTATTATTTTTTGTATTCTTTTGAAACTTACATTGCAGATGTTTGAAGTAATACATTATTTTTAATTATTGTTTTTCAAATGAAATTGACATTCTGAGAGACAAAGCCATTTTTTAATGTCTTAGTCAGTGGCAATCTGGGACTCAGAACTAATCTTGTAAAACACAGCAGCTCCAATAAAGTTCTTTGTATACTAACTTCTTTTTTTTTCAGTTTTTCCTATTTCCTGTTATAAACATAGGCTTCATGCAAAAATTTATGGCATACTTTCAGTTATAACTAGATTTGACACCTCTTTTGTTTCTATCTGTGTGGTCTTGGGCAGGTTATTTAACCTATAAATGCCAGAGTCTCTGTCTATAAAATGACAGTAATACCAACATTTACTCCATAGTGGCCTCAAGATGGGATAGTTTCATCTAGAAATAATTAGCTAGATTAACTCATTGACTGACAAAAAGGAAGTGCTGTGTCAGTATTGGTGGTTATTCTGAGTGCTGCCTTCTCTAATTGAGAAATCTGGAGCTGTGGAATTGAAGTCAGGACAAGGTTCTTTAGAGTCTATCTAGGAGTGAAGGACAGGCAGTTGTTTGGTAGGTTAGGCTCTTGAGAAATGGGACCATATCTTACTCTATTTCCTTGACCCTCGTATAGCACCTTAGTGGATACTTGGATGGTTCTGGAATTAAGACAGGAACGAACTCAGGGCTAGAGAAATGCTTAGCAGTTAAGAGCACATACTGTTCTTGCAGAGGACCTGAGCTTGGTTTTCAGCACCTATATCAGGTATAACTCTAGCTCCAGGTGATCCAGTGCCCTGTTCTGGACTCTGAAGGTACCTGCACTCATACATGCACATATCCACATACAGATTCACACATACAATGAAAAATAAAGTTTTTCTTTTTTTAAGACATGAACAAACTAGAATGAAGGCTTTATGGAAATCATGGAAACTAACCTTTCCTCATAAAACTGATGGAACTCTATTACAAAAAATTAGTCATCAGCAGCTGGAGAGACGGCTGAGCAGTTAAGAGCACTGACTGCTCTTGCAGAGGACCCAGGTTTGGTTCCCAGCACCCACATTGCAGCTAACAACCATCTGTAACTCCAGTACCAGGGGTTCCAACACCCTCTTCTGACCTCTAGAGGCATTGCATGACACAGGTGCACTTACATACATGTAGGCAATACACTCATACACATAAAATAAAAATAATAAATGAAATATTTTTAAAAATCATCAATCTGCAACATAATTACCATTCTCATGTTGATGTATTTCCTTCCATTTTTAAAAATTTATCTGTATTTTACATAATTGCAGTTATAATTACGGTATAAATGTCTGTACATGTATATATGTATCTGAATATGCATATACATACATATATAAATTAATTTATTTAACATTATGTCATGAGCATTTCTCTGCTACTGCATGACTTTCATACTCACTATGTGTAGTAGCTATAAAGTATTAGGCTGGAGAAGTTTTTTTATTGTTATTATTTTATATTATTTTATGTGTATGAGTGTATTGCTTGCATGTATGTAAGTATGCCGTTAGCCTTGAATGGCCTTTTCTCAGTGCATGCTGTGTCTTATATGTAATTTTAGGTTTCTCTTCCTTTGGCCTCTTCTTCCCTGGAGGAATTTCTCTTTATGACCTCATGGTTTTCTGTGCACACCCATGTTGCTGTTGCTCTGCCTCCCATACGTCATCACAACTCTACTTAGCTCTACTTAGCACCTCCCCCCACCCCCATTTTCGAGCCTGAGGTCCAGTTAAGGATTTTCTTGTTCAGCTTTGTATCTCTAGCATATGGTATGGGTTTGAATGTTTAACCAAAGTAAGGGAATGCTTACAAAACTAAAACCCAAAAGTGATGACACAGGTTTACACATTGTTTTTCATTCCTGACAGCTGTTTTCTTACTAGCTCTGTTTCCATAGGTGTGTATGAACTAAATACTGTCTTGCTTCCCTCCTTATCCCACATACCTGTCACAGGTGACCGTTTTACCACCATCTTGATGTTTTGTCAACATCATGCCCTTCCTCATCTTATTTTACTCACTAGGCTATAACTATCCCAGGTTAATTGCAAGTTTCCCCATCCTGTGCCTGTACTGGGTCTTTCCTGACGATGGTAGCCACTTAGATATTTTATTAGAACCATTATTAGAACTGATAGATGGTAAAGGGGAATGTTCGACTGACATAAGATTCTAGTCAGATTTCTGGAATACTTAGTGGGTTAGAAGTACCTAGTAGGTGGAAATCCCCAAGATAGGCATTAGAGAGGCTTTTAGAGTGAATACTGAGGTGAAGTTTAAAGATTAGATTGCTCCAGTATTGCCAGCAGAGTGCTCTGTGTCCTGCTGAGAAATATACAGATAGACATTATAAGTCAAATCAGGAGGCTATCTGTCTTCAGTTTTCATTATTAGAAGAGATGAAAATTGTCATCGAATTCTACTTACTGGGCAGCACAGTCTGGCAATGGACTGTCAGAGTGTTAGGTCCAGGATTGAAAAATCTGATAGACTGAGCATTTTCTTTTTTTTTTTTTTTTAAGATTTTTTTTTTTTTTTTTACTTTTTTTTTTTTTTTTTTTTGGTCTTTTTGAGACAAGGTCTCTGTAGAGCAGTCTGGCCTTGAACCCACAGAGATTCGCCTGCCTCTGCCTTCTGAGTGCTGGGATTAAAGGTGTGTACCACCACTCCCAGCTTATTTATTATTTTTATTTTATGTGTATGAGTGTATTGCCTGCATGTATGTGAGTGCACCCATGTCGTGCAATGCTGCAGAGGTCAGAAGAGGGCTTCAGATTCCCCTGGAACTGGAGTTAAGGACGGTTTGTAGCCACCATGTGGGTGCTGGGAATCGAACCTGGATCCTCTGCAAGAACAGTCAGTGCTCTCAACTGCTGAGCCATCTCTCCAGCCCCAGATTGAGCATTTTCATCAGCGTAACACTCTAGAACTTTAAATGGTAGATTGAATTACATACTCCCATAGTGTTCTATTTTATCAAGATAAGAAACCTTGGGTATGAGCTGCTCTTGGCATGGTGTTGACTACCATTTGCTCCTGTAGGAGATTACAAACTGAAAAAGGAGAGATGCTTTTATGAAGAATGAAACATAATTTCAGAATTTCTGTAGCCAGAACTAAACATGATTACACTTTCATAGAGGAGCTGTATCAGCTCTAACTTTTGTGGTTGGTTCACCTTTAGTGTAGCCATGGTTCAATCTTTTCTTACCCACATTGGTTTAAAAATAGGTCTCTTTTAAAAAAGTATTTATTATTTTTATTTTATGTGTATGAGTGTATTGCTTGCGCTTACATGTAGGTAAGTGCACCCGTGTCATGCAGTGCCTGCGGAGGACAGAAGAAGCCATCAGATCCCCTGGAACTGGAGTTATGGACAGTTATTAGCTGCCATGTGGGAGCCATCTCTCCAGCCCCTAAAAATAGATCTTATAGTTAATTGTCAGTAACTTAGAAGAAACATTAATAAAGGACTGCCCCATTAATTTTCTATACTGCATATAAAAATAGCACTTAAAGACCATGAAGTAGCCTTTTAACATGTTACCTAATATATAGTAATTCTGTACAGTAATTGAGAGGACAGTGTTTTCAGTGGTTATATATGTGTTATATAAACATAGGTGGGCTGTTTTAAAACAGCATAGGAGAACTGTAGGGATGACTTATTGTATGAACAGAATCTGGACTAATGACTTTTATTTAACCTTCCACCAAAAAGCTACTGTTTATAATGCAGACAAGCCCACTGAGCCATGTGCTCTTGTGACCTGGACACCTGGTCTTCATCCCTCCATCTTACTTTGCCCTTCATCCAAGATAGTGATTGAATGTGGGTATGCTTGAATTATCACATCAAAGCACTGAAAGCAGCACATAGTATTCATATTCCCATCCTCACTGAAAGCTGGGAGAATATTTGACATGGGAAGTATATTTGACATGGTGTGTATATCCAAGATATTTTAAGCCTAAGGATCAAAGAACAAGATTCTCTTGATAAGGGTGGATCCAAGCTTGTACTTCCCCAGTTCATGTTGGAGGAACTGAATGAAAATATGGTTGAGGCCTGGTTTAGGAGTACAGTTCCGAGAGAGATCTGAAGGAACAAACTCGGAGTTCTTGGGCTTTAAATGCTGAGAGTCAGGCTGATTCTTTATTCAGATAGAACTGTAATATGACTTAGTAATGCCACAGGGAAGGTGGCCTGGGATTTCTCAGTAGTCAGTTTGTGTCTCTTTTAAACTTTAAGCCCCCTAAAACAGCCTTTTCCTTTTTTTTTTTTTAATTTGTATCTTCTCATTTTGATATTATATTCCGCTCCTAGATTTTTCCTTCTTGGATTCTATTTTACTCCAAGTCCTGCCTATTTGAAGGATATGACCTAACGAATCAAGTCTAGTGGTAGGTACTCAAGAAGGTTGAGCCAGCACAGCCTGCAGAGTTTAGAAGCATCATGAACTCTGGTGATGCTACAGTTTACTAGCACAACTTTGGAAAACAGCTACTGGATCACAGAAGCAAACTGAAGGTTTACTTTACTTAAGGGAGGCAATGCAAAAGGAGCATCGTTCTGATCTGGTGACCTGTCAGTAAAGGGCCTGGTGTTCTGCATAGCAGTTGGAATAGTTAGATACACTCTATGTCTAATTATATCTACTACTGTTGTCCTAATGTTCATGTTTCTTTCTCTTTGTCCCACACTGTAGGTGCTCATGTGACTATGACAGATCGAAAAGTAGCATTGGAATTTCTGAAATCAAATGTTCAAGCCAACTTACCTCCCCATATCCAACCCAAAGCTGTCGTTAAGGAGCTGACTTGGGGACAAAATTTGGGGAGTTTTGAACCTGGAGAATTTGACCTCATACTTGGAGCTGATATTATATATTTAGAAGAAACCTTCACAGATCTTCTTCAAACACTGGAACATCTCTGTAGCAGCCAGTCCATGATTCTTTTAGCTTGCCGAATTCGCTATGAACGGGATAGTAACTTCTTAGTGATGCTGGAGAGGCAATTTACTGTGAGTAAGGTTCACTATGATCCTGAAAAAGATGTACATATTTACAAAGCACAGAAGAGAAACCAGAGGAAGGACTTGTAGTGGGCTGTATTTTACAAGAATGCTGTTGTTGGGTAAGTTAAGGTCTTACAACTAGAAATCCAACCATGTTAATGAGTCGGCTTACCATGCAAGTCTCTCCAACCAAAGCTGCTCAAGGAACAAAGAACACATGCATTTTTCACACAAATCAGTGCTTTAAAGTCTCATTGCTGTGATTGTCAGTCATGTTTCACTCACTGAATGAACATTAAATGAAATTGAGATTTTGGCTTGTGGTGTTTGTTTATCCTGTGTTTCTCCATCTTGGTAAGCAGTTTTCATTGACAATCTGGCTAAAGGCATGGTGTAAAGATACCTTTAAACTGGTAAGCTTGGTTTAATGAGGTTAAGTCCCTCATTCTGGGATATATAAATTGTCCCAGTCTTCTGATTTTATGAAGTGTAAAACAAGGTTTTACAGCATACATTCCCTGAATTGATTTTGTTGTTGAAGTCTCTTGTTCCATTTAGTTTTTATGTTTGAAATTGGTCTCACTCTGTAGCTCTGACTGAGCCTAGAACTCCCTGTGTAGATGAGGCTGGCCTCAAATTTGCAGTGATCCATCTTCTGCCGCTGCACTGGGATTACAGGTGTGTGCAATACTGCCCAGATTTCCTTTTAGTTTTTGTTGTTTGAGATTAGGATGTCAGTTTTCTAGAGTCTCAAATACCATTTGACTTAATTTCAGAGCTAGATATATAAGCAAAAGAATATGTAAAAATAAAATTTTAGTTTTTGAAAGCACCTGAAATCTTAGATTGAAATAAGTTGTTTTCTTCAAATCAGAAAACATGCTTTTTTGTTTCAGCTTTGCTGTTTTGCAATACTTTTACATATATTTCTTTTCTAGGTTTTTTTCTTCCCTCCTATAATATATAGGATGCTAATTTTAAAAGTTTTTTTTATACACAAGAAGTTTTATTCAGACAAAGAAGAAAACTGTCTTTGTTGTTTTTTAAAATATTTTTATTGAGCTTTTGTACATTTCATATAATAGCTCTTAATCAAATTTAGACCCCCTTTCCCCTACTGGCCTCATGTATTCTGCCATATATCTTAAGTCCTATCCAGTCAAGCATTTGTACCCAGATGTCCTTTGGTGCACATTCATCCACTGGAGTCTATTCGGCCTAGCTAGAGATCTTAAGGAAGGTCTACTGCCCCTCACCCAGCAGTAAAGTAATCTGTCTCCAACAGTTCCTAGGGCCAGCCTGCTGCCCATTTCCCTTGCTCCACTCTGGGCCCTTGTCTGATTGAGTTGGCATGGGTCTTGTGCTCGACGCCACGATTGCCACAGAAGTTCAAATGAGCAAGCTTCCAGTAGCCTGAAAGCCTGTTTCCCTACGTTCATGAACAAACCCCGGCTCTTACAATCTTTCTGCCCCCTGCCCCCCTTCTGCAATGGTCTTGAGCCATGTGTGGGTGAGGTTCAATATAGGAGTCCTATCCAAGGACACACACTCTTCAGTCTCTATTCTCTAAAACTCAGCCAGTTGTGGCCTTCTGTGTACATCACACTCTGTTGTATAAGGAAGCTTCACTGGTGAGAATTGAGGGATGCACTAGTATTCTTTCTACCCCCATCGCACTGTGTTCTGTGAGCCTTAGGTGTAGTTTCCATTGTAGATATGTCACCTAGAGGTGGGCATCTCTCAGACATCTTCTCTGTGTGCGACCAGCTGTGGAACTCTTTAGTAGCCCTGTGTGTTGTGAAACGAAGCTTCTTTGGTGAGTATTACATACTTGTCTGTAAATATAAGGACCCGTATTTTTAGAATAGGGTAAGAAATTTCATTTGTTTAGAGATACTAATTTTCTCTAGAAAAATATATTCTCCAGCCATGTATATTTGTCTATAAGTGCCATCCATGAGTTCACTCCCATTGAGAAGGCTTTAAGTCCAATTATATAGCTGTTGATTACACCCCAGATAACAGTGCCACTAATGCACCAGTAGAGATAGTTTGCTGTGCCAGTCATTATGGTTATTTGGCTTTAGGGCTGGATTGGACCATTGATTGATTGTCTCCTTTAGCAGTTTGCATAGTATCCTCTAGAACTTTTGAGAGTTCGTCTTTAGGGAGAAGTCTTCCAGGTCAGTTCCTGCTCCATTGCTCCAAGTCCTGTGAAATATGCCCTGTTTTTAACAGTAGGGTCTTACCTTCAAGTTCTGGCAAATAACCAAGGACTCCGGCAATAGCCCGTGTTATTTTGGGAGTCTTCACTACTATAATCAGCCACTCAAAGGGAGGTCTCTCCTGTCTGACACTGTGCTCCTTGCCATACAGTCCCCAGATATACACATGCACTAATGTTCAGACACCGTATGTGTACTTCTCAGGGGATTCCCAAGCCTACATGTTTCCCTCTTGGCTTCCCAGGCCACCCAAGCTCCATTCTCTCCTCTCCTCACCACCTTCCAACCTCCCTCCTCCCCAATCCAAGCACCCCATTATCCCCACCCTCCCCCATAACACCCATCTCCCTCTATCACCCCTCTCCTGAGTTCCTCCTTCCCCCACCCCATGGTCCCCTGAATGTCCCTCCTTCCCACCTCCCAGGTAAACACTCCCACTTTCCTCACCTCCCCCCTGGTAACATCTGTTTCCTACTATCCCCCCTCCTTTGGGCTTTTTCCCTTTACCTCCCTGGTTCCTTTCCATTTTCCTGGCTCCTGCTGTTACATCAGGATGTATGCTCACATATTAAGGGATTTGTGCTAAAATCTGCAAATGGAGAACATACATCTCTTTTCTGAGTTTGTGTTACTTCACTCTGTATAATAGTCTCTAGTTCCATCCATTTACCTGTAAATTGCATAATTTCATCTTGGGGAAAACCTGGAAGCATTCCCATTAAAATCCAGACAAGGATTAAAAACCAGACAAAGCTGTCCACTATCTCCTTTTCAGTATAGTGCTTGAAACCTGCAAGAGCATTAAGACAAGAGAAGGAAATTAAAGGAGTACTAATTGGAAAAGAAGAGTTGCTATTTGTAGGTATGGTATACCTAAAAGATCTAGAAATGAGTATAGAAAACTACTAGAAATAATACTTTGAGTAAAGTGGCAGGTTACAAAATCAACTTATAAAAATCAGTAGCCTTTCTATATACCAATAACAATCAGAAAAAGCATTCAAGGAAAACCTCTCATTCACAATAACCTCAAAAAAAGAATATTTAGGGATAAACTTAACCAAAGACATTAAAGATCTCTACAATGAAAATTTCAAATCTTTAAAGAAAGAGATAGAGGAAAACACCAGGAGATGGAAAGACCTACCATTGAAGGAATTGTGAAATACTCTTCCTATGACTATAAAAATATGCTTGGTGAATTAAGCTGAACCTTGAGCATGTATGTCTGGAAAGCCTTGCGTTTCATGATAAAATTTATGTAAGAATGCTTGCTTGGGGGCTGGAGAGATGGCTCAGCGGTTAAGAACACTGACTGTTCTTGCAGAGGACCTGGGTTCGATTCCCAGCACCCACATGGCAGCTAACAACTGTCTGTAACTCCTGTTCCAGGGGATGCAACAGCCTCTTCTGTCTTGCGTGGGCATTGCACAGGGGTGAACTTACCTACATGCAGCCATATCACTCATACACATACAATAAAAATAATATTTTTTTTAAAAAAGAATGATTGCTGGGGAGTTATCTCTGGAATGCCAGTTCCCCGCTGTAGTTTCTCATGAAACATGTCGACCTCCTAAGACATAGCATGGAGATAATGATGCTGTACTCATCTTATTTTGCTGAATTGTTATAGTCAAGCCATATTATTATTCAGTATTCTGTAAACAATTGACTGTGGTTCTCATGAGAATAATAAGCCATTTTATCATTGCTCAGTTCTGTAGACATATGACTGTGATTCTCAGTATGAGAATAAAAGCAGAGCTGCTGATACAATCAGCACTCAGGTGCATGGAAGCCTGGGTTCCCTGATTTATTTTCAGTTCTGTGCTAATCCATTCAAGTCTTGTGGCTGCTCCGGGTGGCTACATACTATGCTCATGTATTGGTAGAATTACTATTGGAAAATGACCATATTACCAAAAGCAGTCTATAGATTCAATGCAATGCCAATCGAAATACCCATGACAGTCTTAGCAGAACTAGGAAAAAAAGACATCCTAAAATTCATATGGAATCACTGAAGACACTGGATGTCCAAAGCAATCTTGGGCAAAAAGAACAATGTTGGGGGGATCACCGTACCAGATCTCAGATTACAGAGCCATCTCTCTAGCCCATTGCTGTTCTTTTCACAATAGCTAAGAAATGGAAACAACCTAAGTGTCCCTCAACTGATGAATTAATTAAAATGTGGTACATTTTACACAATTTTTAAAACTTTTATCTCTGTGCAAAGGTTAGCTCCCACAGTATAAATTCCTTTTGAATTGTACCTGCAGTTGCTCATTTAATGTCAGGATCTCTGGTAGATTGGAAGCTGCTGGGAGGCCCAGAATATTTCTGCCTCTTTTATGGTTGCTTCCCTAGTATCCAGTAAAAGTGTATCAGAACCAAATAATGACGATATATTCCATTTAGAGGTTCCTGATGTTTTGCTTTGTGGTGCTAGAGATCAAACTCAGGGCCATATGCATGCTAGGCACACGCTACCATTGAGCTACATCTGTAGCCAGAGGGTATTGGTCTTTGGGTTAAATGATTGCTACACTGTTTTATGATTATCTCTAGGTAGACTTTATAAATGAAGTTATCATATATGAGCTTTTCTTTTACAATGGAAAAGCTTAGGCAAATTTGGACCATAAGAATACTATAATCTTGCTGGGTGTGGTGGTGCATGTCTTTAATCCTAACACTTGGGAGGCAGAGGTGCAGGGGTCTCTCCCTCTCTTCGCGGGTCGTTGGCCACCGGTCCACGAGGGCAGGGGGAGCAGAAGCGGCGAACGGAGTCAGGACGGAGTCAGGACAGCCAGTGAGCACTGACGGAAGAAAGCCCTTCTGGGGAGGCGGGTTTCATGGCGTAGTGAAACAGAAACAGCTCTAGATGCAGTGATACAGCTCCAGACTCAGTGAAACAGCTCCGTTTATTCAGTGGGAGAACTAGAGAAATTATAGTGTGGAGGCAGTAGGCCTCAGCTGATAGGCGCTCATAGTATGCTTTATTTACATGTGGCAGTGGGCTCCTATCGTCCGACTATCGGCAATGCCTGATTATCATATAGAAAAAAACCTGGGGGTAGTTT